TCCTAAAGTAATCAAGTGTTTTCATCTGATAAGCATAAGTAAAGCGAGAATGCAGAATACATCGAGGACAAGGTAATAACAAAATAGCCAACGTCCAGCTTAAAGGCATTGAGACATTACCGTAGCAATTAACTAATAACGGCAGGTTGTTTGAAAAGAGTAGAAAAGGTGCATTCAGAAAACTCAATGTTGAATCTTGTTGACGAAAACTCTCAAGCAACAAACGGCCAAAGCATGTAACTTTCGCTGTGCAGCTAGTCATTATCACGAAACCTGGACACGATGTCACGAAGTCCGAGGTATGTCAGCCACTCGTAACCACACTCATCCCGCCGGTAGAAGACGACATTGCCCGTCACGGTCCACACTGTCATTGTCTGTTCAGCGACGCTGAGTACCGCTTAGCGCCATCACGCGTGCTACTGAGAAAGCCGACCGACCGGTCACCGTATTGCAGACAGTTTCTCCCGCTGAGACTATATACTATATAGTGCTGAATCAGTGCCCTGATAAGTTACGTGGTTCCATGGACGATTTTTAGCGCTGAATGTCTGGTGGAGTAAAAATATCTCAATTAGTTCAACTCTAAACAAATATACCACCTTACCACTACATTGAGAGAAAATAGAAATTCACCAATGAAATAAAAACATACATTTATCGTAAAATGTTTCACAAGAGAGAGAATTTCAAGCGTTCTCTCAAAATATTGAAAAGATCAATCTCCTTATCGTATGAGCCCAGCAGCTCCATGGTCTCGTAACTCCGACTGATTGCAGCTCTCAGAAGGTCCCAGCCGACAACTGGTCAGTGGTCAGGTCAGCGACCGATGAGTCAAAAGAAGTCAAAGCCAACTCTCGCTCGGCTGATTCAGGGCCCCTACAGAAAGACACTGCAGTGAGTTCACTTTCGCTCAAGGACCATGACCATAACGCAATTGTGGTACTTTGTTCATGTCGTGTAAACGATCCGAAACACCGTACGCTTATAATCGTAACTGACTACGTTAGCAGTTTATCAGGCCTAAATGTTTTTATTTTGAAACCGCTATAATCGGTCGTGAAATTATATTGCAAGGTAGGTATGCCACCAATTATTCAGTTAATCGCACCAGTAAACAAGCGTACCTAGTTACAGGTGTTTATTCGATTTTAGTGCCTACTTATACCTAAAGCAGTATAGAAATACCAAAATGAATGTGCACCGTCAAATCACTTTCCTTTTTATACAATGTCGCGAAACGTTTTTGTCGGGATAACTCTAAAATGACTCCTAGCGTCTACAAGCTTCCCAGAACGTCTAATTATCACCAAATTAGACAAGCACACTCTTCTGTTTTACACTATTATCACCTCACTTAGGTGAGCTTCAGTGCTTCAGCAGCAATTACCTGGTCATTTCCCGGCCGGGACGGCGGGTGGGCTGTTCATTTAGTCCCCGTGCAGCATTCAAACACGACAATGCGTACGGTCACGGGGCGTCTCCGTTACACACGCTGCCCACACTGTGCGGCACCGAGTCAGAGGTCGTGAACTCCATTGTGTTGGTCCAGTATGCAGCGGTCAGCAGCGCAGAGAAACGGTTCGACGTCCACAATGATAAACGTGAAAAGTTTCTCCAGCGATTTTCCGCTGGCTACCTTCTAGCGAAACCGTTTCTCGTTTCTTGTTTCTGTACCCGGCAAAACATCTCTAGAAACCGCATGTCCCTTTCTGCATGTTTTCCAACAAGCCATATTTTATGGATATTATACATTCAGATTCGGATTGAATACGTTCAAATCTATTGCATTTCGCAATCTCCCACTACTATTTCATGTGCAGTGTGCAGCTGCTGCGAGTCGATACTGCACGTTCTGCCGTAGCTTGCATTCGGGCCAGCCCGTGTATCAGCCATGGCCGATCAGAGATCTCTCGTAGAGCGCGGCTGTGGCAGCAGAGAAATCAGAACGGCGCCGACTGGTGAGCAGCAGCCGACCCCCCTCCCCGCCTCTCCCCCTCCCCGGACCGGCCGGGCCAGGGCAGAGCACGTGATCTTCGATATACGACACCGGCGGCGGTGCTGGGACGTTAACGAGAGTGTTGCGAGTATTTCTATGCGTACGAAAAATTCCTGAATGAACCGAACGTTTCATTATGTTTCGTGCTAAAAGTGATCATTCGCTTTTCAGTTCCTACCAGGATTTTAGAGGAAATGTAAATAAAGAAATAGTGAAAAAATATTTAAAATAAGACGAATATGCTTCGATTGACTAATATGGCTTCCATATTTATCAATCGGAACCAAAAAGCAAAACACTACGGGTAGGCCCTCACTAGTCAACTGAGATCGCAGATACATGAATGAGGGTAATACGAGTGCGTTAGCTCAAAAGATGCTGGCTGCACCCAGACAATGCGCGAACGAAAGCCTTCGCGAGCAAAGCAAACCAGGATGCTTTGTTTGGACTGACCTGACCTATCAGCACCCACAGAAGCATCGCATTGAAGACATGACGCGAATCGCCGGTTTCTACTCACCTAATGTAAAATCCAGTGCTGATACCATTGCGAAAATCTCTCTCGGACGCTCACCCTTCTCACATCTCCCCTCTCACACCGATCAGCACAGCAGCACCTCGCGCGCAGCGACCATCACCGCCGTCCGGTGCGTCCCAGTGGCACCCTTCACCGGGCGCGGGCCGAGAGAGCGCGCCGCTCGCTCCCCGTTTGTGGACCAGTGGCACGTGCGGCGCGCGCCAGACACCGGAGACGGCCCAACTTTCCAGCTGGGGGCCACAGAGACCACTGGCCGGCCGGCCGGACCGGCGACGGCGCGCGGAGACCGGCGCGAATCGGGTCACTAGCCGCCGGCGAAAGGTACCGGCCCACCTCCCCGGAGAGACGGCCCCCGCCGCCCGGCCGACCGACCGCGGCCGGTCCTGTCCGGTCCCAGTCCTGTCCAGTCCCAGTCCTGTTCAGTCCCATTCCTGTCCCAGTCCTGTCCCAGTCCTGTCCAGTCCTGTCCCATTCCTGTCCCAGTCCTGTCCCAGTCCTGTCCCAGTCCTGTCCAGTCCTGTCCCAGTCCTGTCCCAGTCCTGTCCAGTCCCAGTCCTGTTCAGTCCCAGTCCTGTCCCAGTCCTGTCCCAGTCCTGTCCCAGTCCTGTCCCAGTCCCAGTCCCAGTCCTGCCCAGCCCCTGTCCAGTCCCTGTCCAGTCCTGCCCAGCCCCTGTCCAGTCCCTGTCCAGTCCTGTCCAGTCCTGTCCAGTCCCAGTCCTGTCCAGTCCCAGTCCTGTCCAGTCCCAGTCCTGTCCAGTCCCAGTCCTGTCCAGTCCCAGTCCTGTCCAGTCCCAGTCCTGTCCAGTCCCAGTCCTGTCCAGTCCCAGTCCTGTCCAGTCCCAGTCCTGTCCAGTCCCAGTCCTGTCCAGTCCCAGTCCTGTCCAGTCCCAGTCCTGTCCTGTCCGGTCCCAGTCCTGTCCCAGTCCAGTCCCAGTCCTGTCCGGTCCCAGTCCTGTCCAGTCCCAGTCCTGTCCCAGTCCCAGTCCTGTCCAGTCCCAGTCCCAGTCCCAGTCCCAGTCCCAGTCCCAGTCCCAGTCCCAGTCCCAGTCCTGTCCAGTCCCAGTCCTGTCCAGTCCCAGTCCTGTCCTGTCCGGTCCCAGTCCTGTCCCAGTCCAGTCCCAGTCCTGTCCAGTCCCAGTCCTGTCCAGTCCCAGTCCTGTCCAGTCCCAGTCCTGTCCAGTCCCAGTCCTGTCCAGTCCCAGTCCTGTCCAGTCCCAGTCCTGTCCAGTCCCAGTCCTGTCCAGTCCCAGTCCTGTCCTGTCCGGTCCCAGTCCTGTCCCAGTCCAGTCCCAGTCCTGTCCGGTCCCAGTCCTGTCCAGTCCCAGTCCAATCCCAGTCCCTGTCCCTGTCCCTGTCCCTGTCCCAGTCCTGTCCCAGTCCCAGTCCTGTCCCAGTCCCAGTCCTGTCCCAGTCCCAGTCCCAGTCCTGTCCAGTCCCAGTCCTGTCCAGTCCCAGTCCTGTCCAGTCCCAGTCCTGTCCAGTCCAGAGTCGTCAACTCCTGTCAGTGGCTGATCCATTTATTAACTTTTATATAGAAAGGCCAGCCATTTTTCTTACAAGTCTGCAACAGTCGCATTGTTACAACCAGTATAACGTCTTTTGGGCGACCTGCTTCAACTCTCAAGTGACCTTACGAATCCATTGGGATAGAGATAGCGGACTGACTGAAAGTCAAGTGTTCCTTCCTCAGACACGAGCAGAGCATTGTCAGGGTGCAGCCTATGGTTACTATAGGGTCGGAAGGAGGTGGCAGATGGATTCAGAGAAGGGTGATGATCCGCTCAGTGCAGCGGTGTCGTAAGGTGTCCTCGGGATGAGTGAGTCTCCATAGTGACCTCGCGAGTACTCGAGCAGTAGGTATGTAGTGGGTGGTGGTGACGCACATATACCCCCTCTGAGTCAGCTTAGAGATAGTGGGAGAATTGACACTCTGGAAATTCCTATATTACGTACAATGTAACTCATTTAGCTGTTTAAGGTAAACGTATCGAGGAGTATAAAAGATAACAAGTGACGGAAAACATATTATACTTTTTACACAAGGAAAAGTCAACAAACAAGGCGCACAAAGACATGATGACAACACATTGTGATAATAGCAACCACACGACAGTTATGAAATCGCATTGTCTGCGTGAGCAGCCATCAATGAATCACGAACAGGAAAATGCGTGTCTGGAGACATGATCTGCCATAATTTGAGCTTCATTCTGCTAGCACAGATTTAATTCGCCTCCAACGTTGCTCAATTTCGATTCCGATATGGATGTGGTTAGCGAAACGCAAGTTTATTCCGATACTAGATGAAACACCATAAGCATCGGAACGGAATCGATTCTATGTCGGTATTCCAGTGACTAATCAACCACAGCTTCATTTACGCTTTCCTCCCTCCTCCCAGTCCCCACCCCCACCTACACTCACCCAAACTCTTTTTATCACCGACCGGTGGTAAGTCAGACGTCAGGTCAGATTAGCAAAGATCCAGTCTGTGTAGGCGGCCACCCGTGTGTAGATGGCCGGGAACTGATCTGTCCCGCACGACTCCATACCTATCGACCACACTCCCACCACCTGATACCTGCCTCCCTCAGTGGGCTCCATCAGAGGTCCGCCGGAGTCGGCCGGACACGCGGCAGAGTCCCGCGGCGCGCCGCCCACGCGACTCACGCACAGCTTGGTCCCCTGGAAACCGCCCGGGAACCGTGCGTCGAACAGCGGAGTGCGTCTGTAGGTCTCCTCGCAGCGGTTCAGGTCCGTCAGCTGGAGAGGTGTGTCGGCTAGCTCGGAGGCCGGGTGACCGTCCCGCTGAGTGGCGCCCCATCCTGCCGCCCAGAGCGGACCACCAGTGACCGGAGACTGCCTCGGAGGCAGACACACCGGCCACAACCCCTCGGTCAGCTTCACTGGGGTCGAGAGGCGCACCACGGCTACGTCATTCTGCGCGCCGTTGAAGCGCGGGTGGCGCACCACGCGCGAGATGTTCCGCTGCTGGTGTCGCAACTCGTCCACCGTCAGCAGGTCGTGGTCGCCGATAACAGCCCCCCACCGTTCCGGCCTCCTCCGGGTGCATACAGTGCGCCGCCGTTAGCACGTGCTGATCAGTGATGAGCGCTCCTCCACAGAACCAGCCGCCCAGACCAGCATCCGTCCAGCGACCGAACAGCACCAGCCACGGCCAGCGGCCCACGTGAGCACCCACAGCGCCCAGCTTTCCGCGCGACCAGCGCTTGGTACTCCGCACCACACGGTACGGGTCGCCACAGCGCTCCGGCAGCGCTGGCTGCGCCGGTGGTACGGGAGGACGGGAGACCTCCCAAGGCGGCGCGGCGCTCCACGAAGACGGGAAGAGGATTGCTGAATCCTCCTCCGGCGATGAGGCAGTGTTAGGTTCTGCTGAGGGAGCTCCAGAGGCTGGAGCGGGGTCAGACGGTGCTGAAGACGGATCAGCTGGCAGAGGTGGTGGCTGCACCGTCTTCGGCAGACGCACGGGGCCAGGTGGCGGTGCTGGAGTCGACGCCGGAGCTGATGCTGATACCGGTGTAGGATCATGAACCGTATCATACGACTGAGTCGACCCTGGTGTCGACGGTTTTACTGGCTCCTGTAACGCTGACTCATCTACCGGCCGCTCCAAAGCAGTCGAGCCGGCTGTACCCTGCGTTGAATCCGCTCCAGCAGTTGAGTCCGGGCAGCAAACGAGAGGCATCGCTCCTGAGAAGCCACACGTCACCGGTCGGGCCTGCAGCAGTGCCTCTCTGGTCCGGAACGAGGCACACTCTGTGATCCGCACACACCGCTCGTCCGGGTCGTGACACGGAGTCTGACGCTCGTGGAAATTGAACGCAACACCACCGCTAATGAACACACTTATAGCCACCAACTCCAAGAACAAGACGATCTCCATCCCGGCGTCTGTGTGTTCCTTCCCCCAGCGTCCTGCCTCCTACACTGAGCTATACCTAGCGGTCCGTTCCCTTCGCTGGACGGTGGTATACTGCAGGAAACACCCGGCAGACATTGTACGTGATCATCAAACGTTTTCCGGCTCACAGATCGGCCTAGCACAGCTCGTGACCAGGGATTCTCCAAAGGAAGGTGGTAATTACCGTTTAAGAGGGAGCGTCAGGAGAGGCTATGGATTTGATTTGAGCTGACAAGAAAGCCGCTTTGAGCTTTTGTCTCTTCTCATCGCAACGCCACGGCATACTGTGGTGGAATCTTTCTAATAATCTGCCTTATTCCTCACTCTTCCAGACTTATATTATAGACATCCTGGGTCGAGGTGACGTACCTATTTATAAAAATATTTATTAATACAGAAAGAAGACCTTGTGTACATATATCAGTTATTCAGCCACTGCTAACTGGCAAACATAGAATAGAACGGATACTAATCATTAAGCAGGCCTTCTATAAGATTGTCACTTATTAGCTAAGAATGCCTAGTCATGTTCCCAGCAATCCTTTAGTGTTTCCATCATCATATTTCCTAGCAGTAGGAACAGGTAAAAATTCCTTTAATTTTATGTCTATTGAGTACATGCAGCTTATTTGTGAATCCGAAAAGAACTACATACCTACATGTGTACTGTACCTACTTTATATGCAAGCGAAGCGTATGCTGCTAACTCGTGTTGCTTCTCTCGGCCACTCCTCAAGACCAGGCAAGGCATGGGAGTAAATACGACAGCTGCGTTTATGCTATTTACGTTTGTTAGAAACAGTAGGCAAATTCGAAAACGATAGCGGCGTTGCTGCAGTGTTGGTAACTAAGTATGTAAAACTGTGTAAGCTGATTCTACACAAGCTCCATTTGCTATTCAATACATCGAACTGAATATATATATGTAGTAGACCAGCCCGAGTAAAATGACTCCACAGTCCAGTCCGCTTTATGGTTCGGAACGTAGGCGTCCTATAGCCGCTGACAGGCTTATCAATAACATGCATTGTTCCTGGTTCAAGCTTTTTGTTATTATTATTTGTAAATGTTTCATTTAAAAAGGAGAGCGTTATCATTGCATTTGAGCACGCTTCGGGGCTGTGTTCGGAGATTTCAAGCTAAGATTCTCATATGCGAGGATAGTTAGGTGGTGGTAGGTACTTACCTAACCTACACTCTTTCAAATAATGATGCTGTTTTTCGGCCAGCTGTTGCACAAAATCATCATCGCCACCGAACAACTTTGTCACTTTGGTGTTACTCCCCCAGCTTAGTTGAAGTTCCCCTCGATTTGGTGTTATGCCGCTTGCAGAAATGCAGTCTCCGATGTTAAACAATTTATTGTTTCCTTGCGTGGGCTTTTTAACATTTACCAAAAGCTTAACTTAAAACGGATTTTCTAGCTCTGCGTAACAAAGCCGTCAATGAAAGGTCAAATCGGATGTCAACCGATTTGACAAACCGCTATACTCGTATCGAGTGTTATTTTTCGATATGTTGTAGCTTTATTACTTCATGCCTTATTGGCTGAGTTATCCTTCATAAACTGTCGATAGGGGAGAGCGGGGAGAGTTGTATCATGTCCAAGTTGTATCAGGGCGAATTGTGCGAAACTTATCCAATTGATGGCGCTCGTGACACGACCAGCCGACGAGGTTTTCCGGGCGCTATCTTTCCCTGTTCTGTCGTGTGGCTGGGTGGACGCGTCTCGAGGTGAGAGCCGATTTTATGTTTTTTTAATGTCATTCTAAAAAAATAAGTTGCAAGAAAATGTGTGTTTTGGACATTTAGATGTGCACGAATTTGAAAGATCTCCGCGCTAGCGGTGGTGAGGGTAGGTTCTAAGGCTGCGTGAGTGAAAATGGATTTCTCCAGCTGTCCGCTGTTTTTGAGCACGAGGATGTTTTTCCAAGATGGCGGCGAGGTACATGTTGTATCAGAGCCGGGTGGGGTATGTTGTAACATGTATGTATGTATGGGTATGTTGCTTTTGATCGCGAAAGCTAAGCCCTGGCTCGCGTTTGTAGGTAGCTAGTCAATACTCGTTCCATTTTGGCACAATGTGTTGGCTTCTTTGCTCTTAACGGGCCACTTTTGCGTCTAGTCTGTTGATGTTTCGTTCGTTTCGATGTTTCGTTCGGATTGCATTGACCTAAGTTTGGTCGAATAAAAGTGAAGCCTTTGAGCATATACATTGTATCAACCCCATTTAATGTTGTTGTTATGCTCAAAACCAGTAGCAGGCACACTCCCTGAAACGTGAAATACCTAGTGATACAAATTACCCCACCATGTGATACAACTCACCCAAGCCATGGGGCAGGTTGTATCAAAAACATTGTTCTATTCGGCAGACTGTAGAAGAAAAACTGGTAGAGGTAGCGGAAAAGTTACTTGGCACAAAAAAGCAGAAGAATCAAGGAAGGAGATAGTATGGAAATAATTAGTTTATCACGGATAGTTACGAGGTTATGGGTCTCGGAGTAAAAACTGATACAACCCACCCCACTCTCCCCTATGCTTGCTCAGAGCGTACACCTCAAGGACAAGGTTGCATCCCCGGGACAGCCACCACGGTGCCAGCGTGATTTAATCACGTATGCAGAGTGTAGACTTGATCTAAGCAGGGCATTGCGTACTGACATTGCACTTCAGAAATAACATGACGTAAACACGTCACGTGGCAGGCATTCTTATCGTGGCTCAAAGCGGCTCAAATTAACGCAAGATCATGCTGACTTTGCAAACAAATGCAGTGTTGCTAATTCTCCTTCAAAATTAAGGTCATACCGCATTGCACGCAATGCTGTAGACACTAGACGGAACTATAAAAGAACTCCTGGTAATACGGAATGCGAAGCTGTCTCAGCCACTATAAGTGAACCGACGCTGAGGGCAAAGTGGAGGAACAGTGCCGACTACCGACCAAAATTAGGTCTCATAAAAAACATATAGAATATAAAGCGGCCAAACGGAAAACGCAAAAAAGCATTACGCACAAACTGCCTGAAAAAAAAATCTTCCAAACAGCAATGTTACCACTAGCATTATAGGACCGAACGAGGAGAACAGTAACTACTGATAAACTGATGGCCAAGAGGTGCCCCTCTCATGAGGTTTATCCCAATGATCTACAAGTAACTCCTCACAAAGTAGGCCCTTTCACCGGCGTGGTGCGTCAGTTCGGGGCTAAATGAATGGGTTCTGGGCGTATCCAGAGATCCCAAACACGGCGTGATTTATCGTTTGGCTGTTGTGCCTGACTGCCGGGGAAACAGTTCAAAACATCCGGGCATTTGCCAAGTGCGGGACGGAAAACGATCGCTTCTAAAAGGATCACAATAAGATATTTTTGACCGACTTAGCCTTGACCGATTTTCTGAGCAGCCCACCTAAAGGATAAGTTCAGGTTGCAATCGGAATGAGTTATTCCCCTCTGTCTTCCGTCTTCCATAGTCCTTTCCGCATGGCATTGCACTATACCGCTACTCGGTACAAGCGTACCAGGAGGGTTGTCGCACCCCTACGTTCAAGCCGCTTTTACTGACTCACTATGCCACGTAACTATCTGTAACGACAAGGATGATGTTGGCGGTATCCGAACACTTCACTCAAACCGAAGTGAAAACGTTCGAACAATTTAAGCCAAGTTACCGGTGAAAATACAGCGTATCTTACGCATCAGCAAATGAAAAGGGAAAGGAATGCTAAAATGCAGCGGCGAGCAACATACAACATAAATGTTCCAATGACAGCTTGACACGAGTTGCCACGAAGGACTCGTCATCCAACCACTGGAGAAGCCAGCAGGGCATCCACTCTAACCCACATCCTCTGCAGCACGGGCTAGAGCTCTCCTCTACCTGCAGTCAAAGACAAACTCAGCTCAACCATCAGGAGTCAGGACCTGCCGAACTTTCGCCCGGCGACGTCCAGTCTCCGTGCCGGGAGCGGAAGGAGGGGGGGGGGGGGGGCTCGCACGCTCTGACTCATCTCCGTTCCTGTCGCGCGCACGGGACCTTTCTCCGGCCTTGACACTGACCCCGCGCGCGGCCGCCGCGAGCTCTCCACAGAACCGATTGGCCAACTGTGCGCGCAGACTGCACGCGCGCGGAGAAAGCTGTCCGGCTCCGTGTTTGTCCGCCAGAGATCCGGGATTGCGGACCGGATCCCGGGACCGGAGCCCTCCCCTCACTCGCTCGGAGGGTGTGCTGTCCCCCGGTAGATGCCTTCACGCAGTGAGGACGTGTGTTGTGTGTGGTGGGGTGGCTGGGATTCCCCGGGCCATAGGGTAACAGGGTGACACTATGCACATTGGACAGAGAGACTGGCCAGTGCAGTGGCCAGGCTATGTGTGGGACACAGGCGATTACGCAACTATCGCAAACAAATTTGTATTTGCATTCGGGAAAGCGGCGTCACTATGGTCTATGAGTTTATTTATTCATGAAAGTGATAGTAACGAGCTTTTGCTTACGTGTAAGATGCAGCTGACTAAACTTATGAAGAAACTGAAGGTCGTTTAGGAAAATAATGGCTGAATAACCTAACATTCCGTCGTTACTGCAAAGATTTGTTGGCATAGTCACACTTCACAGTTCGTCTCCTTCCGAATGGTTATTACGTGCATAAGTCAATGCACCAGTGGGACCTTCGCAATGCCTACAACTACATGCCACGAAATCGACCCTCTGGTCGACAAACGCGGGCTTCTCTCCGCTGGCTGCAGGAGGCCGTTCCAAAGTCACGATCCACTGTCACAATCGCCAGGATCAGGATAGACTATATTTGCCGCGTGTGCTGTTGAGGCTTCATGACGTCACATCATACTGTCGTGAGCGGTGAGCACAGAGTGTTGGTCCGTCAGTGATGCTAGCGGAAAACGCCTGAGTCACCACTTTCACTACATGACCAATCGCAAATGTTGTTCTTACATAGTGTTCTCGTGTATATCGTTTACATATACAGGATCACGTTACTCAAGGGTAATAGGGCGTCGCATTCCTAATTGAATTTTGGTGCGTGGATAACATGTGTTATTGCCTTTAAATGTGATATGCATAGCTGTGAGCGAAACTGACTCGGAGAATAGCATAGGCCGTAGGTAATCACCACAAAGATAGGGAAAGCATATAAATCATAATTTATTATGACTTACGCGAAATTAAACTTCAGTAATCACAAATCAACAGGTACACAAACGGGCTGACGATCCCATATCACAAACGTGCTCTGCAACAAACTGCCGGTGCAGATCACCACCAACCCGAGGTATATCTAGTCATGATCAGCTGTCGCAACTGCGCCACTTTCCACCGCCTTTCTCTGACGCCGCTGCACAATCTAACGATAAGAGCGGAGGGGGAGAGCGAAACTCCGTGACGGGGTTTCATCACGGATCACGGGACAACCGTGAACGATACGGGTCCACCGGGCCGACGGACCCCGCACGAGCTAAAAACGCCGAGCCGAGACGACCGTGTGGCTAATTTGGTCACAACAAGCAATCAATGGCGTGTGAGGATTGCTACCATTACGATAACGAGGTAGTGTTGCGTGGCTTCAATGGCTTCATGGACCGTGGATATTGCCTTGCAGCAATATCATGAAAACAAAATGAATCGGGAATAAAACAGATGATGTGATCATGGGTGATCTCTGACAAAGTCAGTGTGCTAAAATGATGAAAAACAGTCAAATTTTGTGATTGTCGCACACATCAAACACCTATGATCACAGCAATGCATTGCAAAATGTAAGAATGTGGATAGCTTAATAACAAATATCGTATGAAAAGCAGTCGATGAAAAACGCAAGCCAGCGACACAACGACCCAGTCATATGTCGATGAAATCGACAAGTCAAGTACCACCAGATTAAACCTGGGCCAGGGTTGGTAAGGCACTTCCCAGGACCGTCTCTGCACCATGCAGCTGTTATTCTGATCCCACTGCAGCGGGATAGAGAACGCGACAGTGACGCTTCCCAACCGCACCCGGCCAGGCGACTAACTACCAATAATGAATTAGGACATCACAAGAGGCGACGTGCGCCACTGTACCATAGGCGTTGAACGGTATTCCTGTACTACCCGAACTAGTGGGTGATAAAATCTTGCCTGGTCCCGACTCTCTGCGGACGCTAACCTAGCCTAAATGATGTCCTGCGTTTGCTCTAACAGCAACAGCAGCACGATCCATCCCATCCCATCTCGATACCCTGTTTCACACCCTCTCCCTCTCTCGAGGACGGACTTTTTTCACTTTATTTACACATGCGAAGCACAGCACATCACTAAAACATATCTTGATATTACATGTGTCGCCTGCCTGCAACACATTACACAACCCATAATCATATGTTGATCGAACCAGTCGACCGTAAGCGTTATATCGCTATACCATTTTCAACATAAATACATCGCCATTTGGCAGCAAAATGTTTCATTCGATTTTCTCTCAAAGCGATTATTCTCTCTGCCTCATAAAACTGTTCTACCTGTGATTTCAACTGCGCCATCACGAGTGTCCTACCATCCCTACGCTGGACATGTATGTAACGCTTCGTTAACAGAATGATGACATTAATGACACATGGCACCTGCGTTGCACCGAACAACACGGAACGAGCATCGCACGGAACATGTGCAGGTCGTATTCTCGAGTTCATATTACGAAATAGCCTAATCCAAAGGGCGTGCACAGGTGGACAATTGTATAAATGATGTACGAGAGTATCGGATTCTCCACAATAGTCACAACTCTGCGTGTCTATGACTCGTCTGACGTGCAAAAAGCGTTTAGTTGGCAAATATCTGTGCAACACCTGAAACTGAAAGGACTGAAGTTGGGTGGAAGCGCAACACGTGTATGGAATCTTAAGGTATGTGGCCCAAGCTTCTGGGGCTAGATGCTCGGCTTCCCACTTTATTAGAGACTTTGGTTTTTGACTTGTCAAACCTAAAAGATATAACTCTTTTGTCCTTAAATTTACGATCCGCTTTACTTTTGATCCTATCCGGCAGCAAATAGCAGCCCCTCTCATCTGTCCTACATCAAGAAAGTCTCCAGATCGCCGTAAATATAACTTCCAATCAGAAGGGATAGCTCTTATTAATCCTTGATACAGAAGGCTGTTCACTCTAAAGTTGTATTTCTCGCAAAATTCCGCGTATGTCATTAACTGTCCCTGGGTTGTAAGCAAGTCGTTAATGAATATTATTCCTTTCTGATACATTCGAGGGAAGAACACAGGACTGTTATCTATCAATATTTTTTCATTATACCACAAAATCTCTTCTCGAACTGTTTCGTTGGAACCGGGGCAGGGTTTGTGGAACAACTTCTTGAATTTCCGGAGCAAATCTTTGTGAAAGTCGCTGAGTCTACATCTTTCCAAGACCTGTTCATTGAATCTAGTTCTCAAAAAAGTGTTGACCGTAAACGGGCCAATGCGAGATCGGAATATATCACCAGATCTCGATTCATGTCCCAGTAAGCGCACCACCCAACTTAATCTAAGCGCGTTGTGTAAACTATGCACTGATGTTGCACCCAGTCCACCTTCTTCCACCGTTTGGTAGAGCACATCTCGAGAGACTTTCGGCGGACGGCCGCGCCAGATGAATTTCATGATGAGGCTCTGAATCCTGCACAATGTCTGTTGCGGAATTACCAAAGATGCCAACACATAGTTCAGTTTTGATACCGCAAGGCTCTTGGCAACGGTTATTCTCCCTTTTATGCTCAAATGCCTTTCAGACCACATATTTAGCACTACCCTTATGCTATTCAATATAGGTTCGAGATTGTCATCTAAGCACTGCCGGCTCGTGGAAAACCAGACGCCTAAAATCTTAATACTCTCTGATGGCACTATACCACACACTGGCTGCGTCAAATCCTGACAAGGTCCAAGACGCGTAATTTTAGTCTTGTTTAGGTTCAATTCTAACCCAGAAACTTCCGAGAACTCTCGCACGATCCGTATCAGCTCGTGAACTGATACCTCATCCCTTGCGAAAATCGTAGTATCGTCTGCGTACTGGGTCAACTTCAATTCCACTCCAGATACGGAAATGCCTCTAATTCTATTTGAAGCTCTTATTTTTAAGGCCAATATTTCCACAGCTAGCGCAAAAAGCATTCCAGAGAGGGGACATCCCTGCATGATGCCCCGCTTAGGCGAAAACCAGTCCGAGGTAAATCCATTGTTAATAATCGCAAGCTCAGATTGATTATATAGTAATCGTACCCATCTCGTAAAATTTGGCCCAAAATTGAATCGCTCGAGCGTATTGAACATGAAATCATGTTCAAGAGAATTGAACGCTGCCTTGAAGAGAATTGAACGTCGTGGGCGGTGAGCACAGAGTGTTGTCAGTCAGTGATGCTAGCGGAAAACGCCTGAGTCACCACTTTCACTACATGACCAATCGCAAATCTTGTTCTTACATAAGATAGGGAAACGATAAGATAGGGGACCAGAAAGATAGGGAAAAGCATATAAATCACAATTTATTATGAGTTACGCGAAATTAAACTCCAGCAATGACAAATCAACAGGTACACAAACGGGCTGACGATCCCATATCACAAACGTGCTCTGCAAAAAACTGCCGGTGCAGATCACCACCAACCCGAGGTATATCTAGTCATGATCAGCTGTCGCAACTGCGCCACTTTCCGCCGCCTTTCTCTGACACCGCTGCACAATCTAACGATAAGAGCGGAGGGGGAGAGCGAGACACCGTGACCAGGTTTCATCACGGATCACGGGACAACCGTGAACGATACGGGTCCACCGGGCCGGCGGACCCCCGCACGAGCTAAAAACGCCGAGCCGAGACGACCGTGTGGCTAATTTGGTCACAACAAGCAATCAATGGCGTGTGAGGATTGCTACCATTACGATAACGAGATAGTGTTGCGTGGCTTCATGGATCGTGGATATTGCCTTGCAGCAATATCACGAAAATAGAATGAATCGGGAATAAAACAGGTGATGTGATCATGGGTGATCTCTGACAAAGGCAGTGTGCTAATATGATTAAAAACAGTCGAATTTTGTGATTGTCGCACACATCAAACACCAATGATCACAGCAATGCATTGCAAAAGGTAAGAATGTGGATAGCTGATTAAAAATGTCTGAAAAGCAGTCGATGAAAAACACAAGCCAGCGACACAACAACCCAGTCATATGTCGATGAAATCGACAAGTCAAGCACCACCAGAATAAACCTGAACCAGGGTTGGTAAGGCACTTCTCAGGACCGTCTCTGCACCACGCAGCTGTTATTCTGATCCCACTGCAGCGGGATAGAGCACGCGACAGTGACTGGCTTCTCAACTGCACTCGGTCAGGCAAATAATTACCCATTATCATGAAGTGGAGTGGGACATCACAAGACGCAACGCGCGCCACTGCACCACAGGCGCAACTTGTACGCTACTCTTGTACTACCCAGTACCCAAGCTAGTGGGTACTGGGTAGTACCTGGTCCCAACTATCTACGGACGAATACGTAGCCCAAGTGATGGCCTGCGTAATGTGTTTGCTGTAACAGCAACAACCAGCAGCACCCTCCATCCCATCCCCCCTCGATACCCTGTTTCACACCCTCTCCCTCTCTCGAGGACGGACTTACCGAAAGCGGCTGTGACGCTGACCACTGAGCGTTCCGGTCAATCGGGACACGTTAGCCATTGGAACACGGACGTCTTCTTGACGACACCGCACGCCGCCACGGGTCCACCGCGTCAGTGGCGCCGCCTAGGTGCTGGCGGCGCCTCCGTAACCGTTCACTGTTCTCTTGTCATTTTCTTCAAACTTCTCTTCAACTCCCTCTTCTGTCACCTGTACGTCAACCTCACCCTCCACCTCAACCTCAACATCTTCCCCATCATAATCTTCCAGTTCCTCATCTTCATCTCCCAGCTCTACACCCACTTCTCCATCCTCCTCCACATCTATCTCCTCTCCACCATCTTCGGTCTCAACATCCTGCTCACCTTCCTCTTCCTCCCTCTCCCTCACACGCCCGGCGCCCGGTCCCGGCCCCATCACCGGGCCCTCGTCCTTCTCATCCCAGTACTCCGACCCAATACACCGCCTCCAAATATCCTCTCTCACTCTCAGCGGCCAGTCGGCGCGTCGGATCTTCCAGCGGATCTTGGCGTGGTTGTGGTCGACGCTCCAGAGGTCGGGCAGCCGGGCGGGCCGCATGGAGTCGAGGAAGTGTTGCCGCCAGCGTCGTTCTAGCTGGATGAGGCCGCGGCCGGGCTGGCAGAAGTGTCGGTAGACGGCCTCGCCGTGGGACATGTACTCCGAGTTAGGGTGACTGCGGGAGTGGCAGAGACGGACAGCATTAGAGACGGAGACACATTACGGGTGATCGATGAACACATAAACACTTAGGTACTAGCAGGACAGAGTAAAGCATAGATGCCGTTTGAGATCACTGGGGAGCTGATACCAAAGACAAGGAAAATACAAAATATGTAGAGAGAAACTTCATTCATATATCATTAAACAAATATTCTTTGCGCATTTCTTTCAGTTCGTTTACAAGCATAGGAAAATTTGAGGGGCTAAATTCATGCATTTGCATGATTCATCGCTTAATTTACACATTGACGACCACCGCAATTATTGAAGCTTGATGCAGCAGTACCCACTTGGTGCACATGTTGGCGGCGCTGTGGAGAATGTCGTCGGTGATGGTGCTGACGCCGTAGTAGTCGCGCAGCACGCTCTCCAGCTCGGCGGCCCGCTGCGGCGGCAGCTTGTCGCGACTCTTGAGCAGCGCGCGGCCCGCTGACTTCACCTTCCGTAGCGCCTGGTCCTCCCGCACCTGCGACACAACGGAGAGTCACCGAGGGAGTTGTGGGGGCCGTGAACGTCTTTTCTGAAGGGGTGTTCTATTCGCATGCACACTGACTTGACATGATCAGTCCCTGAGTTTTGACAAGCATTGTATGATGAGAGAGTGAGCGAGCACGAGCCTTGGGCTTGGGACCGAGTACGAACCTGGGAGGAATCAATAACACGAGGGAGGATTGTAGAAAATGCCGGAGTCGACTTTTTAAGATGCTATTATTTTGAACAATGCTAAGATATACGCCAAATCCAGCTGTCTATGGAACTATAAGTCCATGCCAGCCCGTGTGACCCACCTTGACATCAGCCTCTGTCCCGATAGGAGCGTGACACTCGTCAGCCAGTCTCTGGCGCATCTTCAGGTCCAGGATGTTACTTTCCTGATGGCAGCTGACGCACATCAGCAGCACGTCGTGCGACTGGTGCGACTTCATTATCTCTGCGGATCAAAGCGGAGCGGCGCACGGCGTCAGTCGGACGCCCCGGTAATGCTGGTAATAGGACCCTTTGCTGGTCCCAGTCGGGTCCAAACGATTTTGTTCTTCTCTACGGATTTATACTCCAGCACCTGAAATCCTCTAATTTTTCCAGCTTTGTGATGGAAAACTGCTAGGTATTATTACACCTAAATTATGAAGAAATAGCATTGAGAGTAACAAAATTTATCAGATATCACATTTATTAGGCCAAACATCAACATGTTATTTTACCGTTTGTTGTTATAAAAACTGGTTGGTTCTCAGGACTGATTTTATTCTCCGGGACCAGGACCGAAAACGACAATTTCAACATTGCACCGGGGAGAGCTGGACATCACATAGCATTGGGTGTTTGTCACAACGCACAGGACTGCAAATCTGGCAGAACTACGAAATGCTTGTAGATACCGATAGGACTAGATATCCGGAGAGCATGGCTCCCGCCGACAAAGCGAATGAAGATACAAACCAGAGTCTAGACTCGCCCTACCATCAGTCAGTAGCTTCAGATGATTCCGACACTAGGTGTTTTTACTGCGAGCATAAATTAGCGTTGCACAATAATAACCTTTCTCTTCATATCTTTATATTTTGGGGTAGATTTGTCTTCTAAAACAGATTATTAGGTGCACAAACTATGCATACTAACTAAAGACATGGCTTTATACATTACAGAGTATCAGTGTGCTGGGAATACCATGCGAGAGCGGGTATCAATGCGGACGTCTCCTCAGTTGTACTCACCGGGGAAGTGTTTTCGGTACTCCTGCGGCACGATGTTCTTCCTGACGTAGCCGTCGCTGGCGCCACATCGCACACAGCAGTTGTCCTTCTCCTGGCCGGGTGAGACAATCGTTGTCACAAGGAGAGAAGCAAACTCATCAATCTCACTCTAACAACCAGGAGAGTCATAGTGAGGGCGCGACAGTTAATGAAGGCAAGTCCTCACAGTGACCGACATACCAATTGGAAGCACAACACCTAAACAGATGGTTGTGTTATGTTTATCGACATAATAACATGCTTAACCTCCTTTTCATAAAAAACATAAAGCCAAGGCCATCGTCAAATCATTTGTCATCCACACAGCAGTCGCACACTTTCTCAGAGACCAACAATAACATACCAACGGAGAAGCGTCTATCCTCACCTGCAGGTAGTAGTAGCCGTGGTTGCCCTCCTGCTGGGGCCGACCGGCTGGCTCGAACCGCAGTTTTACCACCAGGGGATCCTCCTGCACTATATCGCCCAGCCCCTTATACACGTACCACCTGGCAAGGCACGTAAGAGGACAGCAGCGTCAGCAAGCAGCTCAGTAAATCACCAGTGTCACAGTACAGAGATGCATGCACTGACCTGTCAAAATATCAAAGCGCTTTGTTCAACTACTCGCGAAATCAAATGCTCTCATGACCGTTCAGAGGTGCGGAAACACTAGACAGCTCTGGACATCTAGACAGCTCTATCATGAACTCTACCATTCAAGACAATATTCATAAACTAGATTCCATCTGGATCGGACTGAGACACATATCACTGACAGTCACTGGGAACCGTCACCTCAAAATGTCACCACTCCTATGACCTCCCTACCCTCCCGAGTCCCGGCTCCCTCCTAGGTCCCACCTGGCCTTGGAGTTTTCCACCACGCTGAGCGGCTGGTCGTCCGGTGCCAGCAGCCGGGCGTTGTCGTACAGCTGGCTCTTCCGCAGCTGGTAGCCCGCAGACACCTGTTTGGACTGCTGGTAGGAGGTGGGTACCGTACGTGACCCGCCGCGGTTCGCCGGAGCGGGGGCCGACGGCGGCGTCGACACGGCAGGGTCGGCGTGCTGACGGGCCTGTGAGAACAGAGAGGCGGAGGTTCTTAGGTGTTGTTTTTTATCCGCTGGGACTGAGAGCGTGAGATGATGTGTTTCGTACTCCAGCGTAGATGGGTAGCCATACGGCTTCCACGGTTGACAGTGATGACATCAGTCATCTTTTTGCAAGCTCGTTAAAGATTTGGGCTGTACGGGGATCCCCGTACAGCCCAAATCTTGAACGAGCTTGCAAAAAGATGACTGATGTCATCACTGTCAACCGTGGAAGCCGTATGGCTACCCATCTACGCTGGAGTACGAAAAACATCATCTCAGAGAGGCGGAGGGGGAGACAGGGAAGTCAGGACTCCGGTATGCGTAAAAACTGACGGACGGCGTATTTGGTTATCGACAATGCAGCATCGCATTTCCAGAAGCATGTAACTTAGCGGCAAAGTTATCAATGGACTGCATCGGAAAAAAAACTTGGAGCCCAGTTTTACCGTAAAACCAGGTAGTCACGAGTGGTATGGGATGACAACAAGGGCTAGGGAGTCGATGGATTTTCGGGTGACTCCGACTCCGACTCCGGCTTCAAAAATCGACTCCGACTCCGACTCCGACTCAAGCTCCGACTACGGACGTTTTTCTTAAAATCCATACCATGAAAATGAAGGCCATTGTGGAGATGTTCTTATTTTGCCTGAAACGATCCCTCGTGAGTTCCAAGGTCTTGCATTGCACTAACACGCCTTGTAAATAGCATGCAGGATTAAAAACAGGTTCTGGTGAATCCGCCGTCTGCTCTTTCGCTGCAATCACTCGTCCAAAACAGGACTATGGCCCTTTTTCGACAAAATATACCTTTATATACGCCAGCATATAAACGTATTTTTCGCGATACTACGAGCGTCTCGTCTTCTGGAGGCTTCCCCGGCCCGAGGGCGGTGCTGCGCTGACCTCTCCTGATTGGTGCATTGCCTCGGCTCGTCCTGGGGTGGCGGCGGCGCGATTTTCAAAGTGGCTACGTGTCTATTGCGTGTTGGGCTGTCCGGATGGTCGCAGCTCGGTTGTGGCCGCCTTGGCCGTGTTTTTTTTTGCGCTCCCACGCCCTCAGAGGCAGCCAAGGGGCCCTCAAAGGCCAATAGAAGTATTTTTTTACACGCACGAAACCTGTAAATAAAGATGGGGTTTTCCACAAAATGTGTTTTTTTCCATTAGCCCCCCCCCCATTTTTTACTTAGGACTTTTTCCGGGGATGGACACACGACAGGGATTTGCGAGAATGGTGGTGGCATCAATGCGCCGCGTGACGGTAATAGCCCGATAGCTGGGCAATCTCTCTGGGGAAATATTTGAGCGTGTATGTTTTTTGCCGTGTTCGTTTGGGCTGATGAATATACCAATAGCCCCTGTTTGTACAGCTACGGTGTTTTAATGTCAGGTGCTAGGTGGTGTGGGTACTGGGTGTCACGCGATGGTTTACTTCCACGGATTAGTCTAATTCTCTCATTAATGTTTGCTGGCAGCTCGAAGGAAAAGCGTAAAAATCTTTGATTTCGAAAGGTCAACGAGCGTAGGATCGCCAAGTAAACAGGTGCAGGGCATGACGTTGAGCCACGCAGCGTTAACTCTAACTCCGGAGTCGGAGTCGGTAAGATTTTTGGCGACTCCGACTCCGACTCCGGGTGGAACTGTCGACTCCGACCGGCTCCAACTCCGACTCAGACTCCGCAGCCCTGATGACAACCTTCTTAGTCTCACTCATACGCTAACAAAACCTTTACACCTTTAGCTGGGGCTTACTGTTCTATCGACAAAGAGTTAACCTGCGCCCAGTACCCCTCTATCGAATTAAACCCCTTCCCAGCCACCAATTGCAGCATGCTCTGCTTCCTTGATCTTTCGCCGGTCCTCACCGCGTGGCTTGGCTTGTACTTGCAGTCGACCAGGCCCTGGCAGGCAGAGAGTACTCGTGGCCACGTACTCCGAGTCAGCTCCGGTACTTTGGGCTCGAGCAGGGCACGGAACAGCAGCGCGCCCACCAGAGCGTCGTCCGCGGCGTACTCCTGAGGGAAGAACAACTGATTAATGGATGACACAGAAAACGGGTGGGTCCAGGAGCAGGAGTCGATGGACGGGAAACGGACAGAAAACGGATGGTAGGACAAAAAGAAGAAGGAAAGAAACCAGACGGACGGGTAACTGGAACTTGGAAGATTATGAGAGGAGACGCCAGTCAAGAAAAGATTGTGATTTGTGATCATACTGAAACTGACAAAAATAAATTTAAAAAAGTGGGCGACAGCCCTAAGTTTTATAAGCACAATGAGTCACCCTTTGGGAACACCACTTCCCTCCCCTTTGGCGCCACGGTCCCCTCCCTTTCGGTCCACCGCTCCGCTCCACACTGACCTGTTGGTCGGCGCTGAGCGCGTCCGTCTCCCAGTTGCTGCAGCGCAGGCGGCGGCCCTTGCTCAGGTGCACTCCCAGTAGATGTTGAGACAGCGCGGCCAGGCCGGGCCGGCGCAGCAGGCGCGCTTTGTCCGGGTGCCGGCCGGCCAGGTGACGCAGGTCGACACAGCCGCGCACCGGCGCCGCGTGATCCGCGAGCAGCAGCGCGCCGTCCTCCAGACAGGCGACGCCTACCTTCAGCACCGAGCGGTCCCGCAGCAGCGACTGGGGGAGGGGAGAGGGAGGCGTCAGCACGGGAGGGTCCCGCAGCAGCGACTGGGGGAGGGGAGAGGGAGGCGTCAGCACGGGAGGGTCCCGCAGCAGCGACTGGGGAGGGGAGAGGGAGGCGTCAGCACGGGAGGGTCCCGCAGCAGCGACTGGGGGAGGGGAGAGGGAGAGGGGTCAGCACGGGAGGGTCCCGCAGCAGACTGAGCCATTGGCCGGAGACTCAGCTTTTAGCACCCAGAGGTATCTTGCAGGTGTCACGGAATGGTTAGAAGTCTCTCTTTCTCTCTTTTTTTTCTCTCTCTCTCACTCTCTCACTCTCTCACTCTCTCTCTCTCTCTCTCTCTCTCTCTCTCTCTCTCTCTCTCTCTCTCTCTCTCTCTCTCTCTCTCTCTCTCTCTCTCTCTCTCTCTCTCTCTCTCTCTCTCTCTCTCTCTCTCTCTCTCTCTCTCTCTCTCTCTCTCTCTCTCTCTCTCTCTCTCTCTCTCTCTCTCTCTCCTCTCACCCGCAGGTCCTCTGGCAGATCCGGTAGCCGACAGAGCCGCACCAGCACACACAGTCCATCCAGGGTGGCCAGCTGGAGGAGCGCCACCGGCCGCCGCCGACCGCCCGGCTCCGTCACCCACTCGCAGTCCAGGCCCAGTACGGGCGTCTCGGAGCACCGCCTGAGAACGAGAGAGGGATAAAGGCAGGGTCAGAGCATATGGCACATACCATACTCACGACAGCGATGGCCTGATCACCGCCAAAGCATTGAAGCTTAATATTTACGGACGCCAACGTCTAATGTTTACGTCTTAAGGCTTATCAATCATTACGGGCGAGGAATCAACGTTAAAGCGACGGCAAAATGCCCGACATGTAAGTGGAGGTTCTAGAAGTACAGAAACAAAGATGGCATAACAAATGTGTATAACAAAAAAAGTTACTACGCCGACATTATTTGCCAAGAATATGAACGTAAAAAAAAACATTTGTTTTACAGAAATCATCATATTCCAAGTCCACCACGCTGAAAGTTGGAGCTAGAACCAGCATCTCTGCCACAAATCTCTGCTCGTCCCAGCAGTAACTCACGCTCTCAGCTCCCGTCCGACGGTCGACCACTGATCAGTAGAGTCCACCACCACGATCCTCTTCTGCGGGAGCGCCCGGAGCGGGCGGGAGCGGGGGCGGCGCCACAGCCAGACGGCCGCCAGAGACACCACTGCCGCCGCCGCCGCCGCCAGAAGCGTCGAGCGACGCACAGGCGCAGGGTCAGCCGACATCTCTGGAAAGCGAGGGACGGAGGGTCAGGGAAAGAGGCGGTGTGAGGGTGCACAATCTCTGTGCCCACACACTGTATGATGCCCACTGAGCGTTGGAGCATTTCAGAAGTTTGCGTTGAATTATCCGAGCAATGCTCTGTTTATTTGGTTTGATTGTTGGGGTTTACGGGCGCATCGACGGCGAGCTAATTACCCACCCATTGTTTATTGGAGCTATGTTTGGTAACCGACTGTAATGGCAAAGCAAGAGCAAGGCGTAACAACGCGCATCATAGCTCTTATGGGCATTTGGCAGCATTTGTGCTACGATTTTCTATGACTTGATCACGAAATTCATTTGGGTTTGTAGTTTGTAGATGCCACCCACCCCTGTTCAGTATTTTTGTCCTTAGCCCACAACTGTAATTCCAAACTCATTATTACTCATTCCTCATTACAACACTTACTCTCTTATTACTCCCTTCTTACTCATTATTTATTACTTATTACTTATTCATTACTCATTAAAGCACGACAATTAGGTACTCATTAGCGCGGGATCACCATAAGTCACATAAAGTCCGTTGTTTATTTTTTTGCACATTAGTCATCACATTACAGCGACAAACAATAATACGGACACTGATCGCTAATGCCGAGTCCCAGCTTATTTTTTCGAGACCTCATCAGTATTTGCTACACAGCCCGTGGATTCCGAACATTATTACACGACGTTCGTTCAAGACATCACATTCCCATCGGGTGCAGAATTCTGCCATAAAAAGTTCGTAGCTCTTGTACTTTATATCGGTTCGGATAATCCTGACCAACCCGACTATCCAGCATTTCCTGTGCCGAGCATACGGGATTTCCTTGACTGAATCTGCGTGACCCCAGTGTAGCCGACCCTGTGTATTTCCTATGAGCTGAACTTCATCTGCGTACCGATTTCCCGCAGAACCCGACAAAACGCAGGTCACGCGAGTAGGATCCCGCATACTGTAGCCAGACCTTTAGGTTGTTGGCACATAGAACAGCCCTTGCTCTATCAAATACCCCGCAACCTTCTTATATTTCACTTTCCGTCGTTGCTACAAGAACGTGTCATTGCCGCATAAAGGTGATACACGTCATACGCCTACCATCCTCTCCGTGCCAGCTCTCAGCCCGTCCATCACATGGACCAGCCACCGTCCACCACCATCGACGCCCCGGTGGTGAATGAGCTCTCATCCGAGGCCAGATAAACCACCATCCAGGCAATCTCATCAGCCGTCCCCACTCGGCCCATCGGCTGGCGCGCCTCGAACTGAGCTCGGGCCCGCTGCGGGTCATGGCTGGCCGCCACCCGGCCGCGCCAGCTGGGGGTGTCCACTGTGCCCGGGCAGATACAGTTGCAGCGGATCCCATCGGCGACCGTGTCGGCGGCCAGGCACTTGGTCAGGCCCACCACGGCAGCCTTACTGGCACCGTAGGCCAGTCGCCTGGGCACGCCCTTCAGACCGGCCACCGAAGCCATGTTGATGATGCTACCGGCTCGACGACGACGGAAGGCCGGCAGAAAGGCGCGGCACAGCCAGAACATGGAGCGCACGTTGAGGTCGAACGTCTGCTGCCAGACGTCGTCCGTCGTGTCGGCCGCGTCGCCGTCCGGCACGCAGCCGGCGCAGTTGAACAGCACGTCCACAGAGTCGGCCAGCTCGGCGGCCAGCGTCTCGATCTCGTCACGTCGCAGGACGTCCAGTCTGCGGACGGTGACGGAAGGAGACTCGGTCGCTAGCTCGGCCAGGGCCGCCGCGTTCACGTCAGTGGCAATGACGACGGCACCCTCCGAGGCGCACAGCTGCGCGGAGCGGCGACCGATGCCCTGTGCAGCCGCCGTGATCAGCACTGTCTTGCCATCCAGACGGCCCATCGTGGCAGTGGGTGGTGAGCGAGGCTCAAAGTCAGTCGCCAGCTGGTCTGCAAAAAACAAATCACTGGTAATGACGAATGTTTGGAGAGCAGGACATCCGTGGACAGATTGACCTATTGGCGACATTATAAAAGAAATCAGATCATGAATACAACTAACTAGTAGTTGAAGTTGTAGATAAGTTCCTACGTAGAAGGATATGCTTTTTATCGTAAAAGCTGCCTTTTCAAACAAGTTCATTCTCCTAAACAGGGACAGGCTATGATCGCTGTCCACCAACAGAACGATACGCTACATTACAAGTCTAATGGCATTTTTTCACCGATAGTCAAAAATGTACTCACCCAAAACGAGCACTCCAGCTCAGTAATGTCACCGGCAGCGACTTCGGACCGACACTGAGCAGAAAATCAGTCTCCAGCGACGGCCTCGCTCGGAGAGAGACCAAACAAACAATGGCCGCGGTCCGAGTACCGTCTGGCGCAGAGGCAGCGTACCAACGGACACATACGCTCGGAGCCAGGCGGGACCGGGCATCACCTCGATCATCAGATCCTGTATCCCTCGTACCTTTCAAAGTCACGGTACCACTCTGAAACCAACGGATGTCCAACGTTGTACATAACTATATCATTTCGGTCAAGGTCGGGTCACAGCCTCTCAGGTCACGTAGTTGGTCGTAAAATGTCATGCTGCATTATATTTGATTCGGCATATCTTTCTGAGTCCCTTGGCGGCTTTTCCGACTCGCTACCTTAATTTGATCGTGAATTATAGAAGAAAACTCCGCTGACCTTAGTGATACAATATAGACGTCATCAAGGCCGACAATGTACCTAAATGCTAAGCGTCAGACCTAGCAAAAAGCGTAAGCAATCATGATTTTACATGCTTGAGCAAGTGTTCGATAGCTTTGGGCGGCAAAATGACAGATTCTATTTCCTCCATCGACTTGTTAAAATGAGATCATCATTTCATGTGCTCTGGAGAGCCCCCCTACACACCCACCCCCTCAGTCACTCGTGTTACGGAAAATACCCCAGTCATGCGCGGGTTAACCCGGCAGGCGGTGGGCCTCCCGGCCACCTTCCGCGCGGTGGGGGGGGGGGGGGGCATTTTTTTGCCCCCCCCCCCCGTATCTCCGAAACTGCTGAACGGATCCGGAAAATTCAAACGACGTTCGATAGTCCTGTCAAATTTGTCGAAGGAAACCAAATTTCTTTGACCTCGGGGTCACCGATGACGTCACAGGTCAGGTCAAAGATAAAATGTTTCACCGTTCACGGGTCTTCTAGGGAAAGCGCTATAACACCAAGTAAAACCCACTTTGTTGAAAATCAGCGATAGGGCGTCAGTTGTCTAGTACATGTGTTGCTATTAGAGGTCACTGGTCATACCAGGTCAGGTCACAGGTCAGGTCACCAAGGGTCACCACATGAACCCAACTTTACTAAGGTTGTGCGATGTATGTTTTATGGCCAATTTTTCATTTCCAACTCAATGGTGTTGGTAATAAGACCATCAGGTACGGTTTAGGTCACTTTCTGGTGGAGGTCAAGTCAAGGTCAGGCCAAAAAAGGTCAAATTTCAAAGTTGTTAGTTTTGCATAAAATGGGTATTGATTCGATACAGCTCGTCACGGGGAGTCTAATGGTGGTCTTGGATTTGCGCTACGAGGTCTAGAATTGCTAAAAATTGAGTTTGAAAATTTGACGTCATCAATTTTGAATAGTTTTTTTTTTCGCTATAACTTGGCCAAAAAAGAGATATCGATCTCAAATTTGGTATGTAGATAGAAGGCGGTAGGGAATATCACATATATTCCGATTTTTTAAATTCAAAAAACTTTTCGGATTTTTCGGCTATTATATTAAAAAATTGATATTTGGGGGTCAAAATCCAAAAATTTCAAAAATCCTAGATGGCAGTTTTGTAGCCCACTTGATTCTACACCTTTTATGTCTGAAACATTTTTCTGTATCTCTAAAGCTGTAAGCCTGACAGCTCTTCCCGCGAAACCTTTTTTGGGTCGAAAATGGCAGAAATGACGTCACTCTGACGTCATTTACGGCCAACCTATCATAGCCTTTGGAATTTTTTTGTCACAATATGCAATAGCTATTCACGGGAGGGTACTGAAAGTTTGGTGACGATCGGCGCAGCGGTTCTGGAGATATATAGAAGAAAGAAACTTAAGGGGGGGGGGGGGCAAAAAATGCGCCCCCCCCCCACCGCCTGGAAGGTTAACAATAACTTGCGGCGTTGGACGTGATGCTAATGAAAAGAGCCCGTGAAAGGCGTCAGTGAAATCGTTCCCAATTTTGGGTACGCCGTTCCCACAATAAGGAACGCTTGCAGCGCGAGCCAGTGTACAAGAGCATTCCCAAATTTGGGCACGCGACCCGGTGCCGGGTGGTGGACTGCTTTAGAAATAGGGAATCGATTTGAAACTACGATGGCCCTTACAATATCAAAGTCTTTCCCAGCAATATTGAGACAAATATAAGGCAGTTCACGATCGTTTTATGTTTTTTGGATGTCATTTAAAGGTTCTTCTTCTTGTTTCCAATAATGCCTCATGGCGTTCCCAAATTTGGGTTTATTGTTCCCAAACATGGAAACGAAAATGCGTTCCCAAAAATGGGCACGCTTGACCATAGTTCCGCCTACTGACTCAGACTTTGCGTTTTGAAACATGATATGAGAACGGTGGTGATGTCATATGCTGCGGAACTTCACTTGCATTGCAATGTACTGAATAACTATCATGGACAGAACCGCAGCCGCTTACTCGGATCGGGCTTCGGTAAGAGTGAAAAACGAAGTTTTCCCAAAATTTGTTGGCAATTAATGCTTTCGTAATTCGTATGGACATTGGGTGCCAGCTGCCACCAGTGACGTCATCATAGTATGCTCATTTTTTAACCCGCGCCCCGTAGGGGAGGCATCGCCAGCCCCCTGTCCTTTTCCGTCGACTTTCAGGACCCCTCCGGGCATCAATTTTACACATTGTGACCAAAACAATTTTCCAGGGGCTATGATAGGCTGGCCACAAATGACGTCAGAATAACGTCATGTTCTGCCATTTTCGACCGAAAAAGACCTTCGCGAGAAGAGCTGTCAGGCCTACAGCTTTGAAGATACAGAAAAATGATCAAGACATTAAAGGTGTAGAATTGACAGGGCTACAAAACTGCTATTTCGGATTTTTGAAATTTTTGAGTTTTGATAAAAAAGGCGATTTTTTGGATATATTAGCCAAAAAATCCAAAAAGTTTTTTTTTTAGTTAGGAAAAAACGGAATATATGTGATAATACCTACCGTCTTCTATCTAAATACCAAATTTCAGATCGATATCTCGTTTTTTGGCCAAGTTATAGCGAAAAAAAACTGTTAAAAATGATGACGTCAAATTTTCAAACTCAATTTTTGGCAATTCTAGACATCGTAGGGCAAAACAAAGACCACCATTGGACTCCCCGTGACGAGCTGCATCGAATCGATACCGATTTTTTTTGTGTGCAAAAATATCAACTTTGAAATTTGGCCTTATCTGACCTGACCTCGACCTGACCTTCACCAAAACGTGACCTAAGCTGGCCCCAAAGGCTGCCTGACCAACATAATCGCATTTGTCATGTAAAATGGACCATAAAACATGTATCACACGACACTTTCATATTGTGACCCCCAAGTGACCTGACCTCTGTGACTGACCTGACCTGGTATCAGTGACCTGAGATAGCGAAGTATGTGTTTGACGAATAATTACCATCAATGGTTTTCAATAACTTACCAATTTACTCGATTTCACAACACATTTCTTGAAATGCCTGTGAACGGTGAAAATCCGACCTTTGACCTGAACTGTGATGTCATCGGTATGACCTAGGTCAATGAAATTTGGCCACAAGGTAGTTCCTGGGTAGGGCTATCGAACGCCATTTGAATTTTGAAAATCGGCCGGTAAATTTCTGAGATCTTAGGGGGGCCGTTTCAGACCCCCCTACGGGTGGTAGGGTCCGCCGGTAGCCCTACGGGCCGCGGGTTTAGACACAACTCCCATGTATTTACCAAGCACAATTTGAAATTGATCATTTTCACAGTAAGAAATTCTTAGCCAGACTGAGACGCTGAATTTGACAAAACTCACGTGAGAGCTTCGATAATGAACTTGGAGAATCCTTTAGAATAAAACATACTATAACATTAAACATATAGCCTTGTTACTAACTACCAGGCTGACATCCGACCATGTAGGTATTTCAATATTTATTTTCTATCCTTTTGGTATAATGAATCAGAAATCAAACGGATAACTTCAACTTAGGTATCAATTTCAAAACAATCAGTTCGAATCTGAATTACCTGCGATGGCAATCAAGTACTCCTTTTCTTCCCCAGTTCTCCCTCTTAAAATATGCAAAAATATCAAGCAGAGTACCTATATACAAGTTGCATGTAAAAACAAAAAAATCAAATAAAACACTACCTCCTAAAGTATGAAGAATCAAAACAAACTCTCGCGTGGTTGTGGAACTTTACAAACAATGCGCAGCTGCGACAGGGATAATGAAGGTAGAATATTTTTCCCCGTCCTAAATCATAAATAAGGAGCAGGGTAGAGATTTGGTAGAGAACCACACTACATCAGAGATGTAGTGTAGTGTATACGGTCTTAGCGCACTAGCATGCAGTCTTGAGAAGAGAACCACAGTGCATATTAACCCGCGCCCCACTGGGGGGGGGGGGCTATTTATAGCCCCCCCTCCCGTTTTTCTGCAATAACTTCCAAACCCAAGGCCATCTATAGAAGGTACAGTCACTCTCCCGCCGACCAATCAGAGACAGATCCTGAGTGACGTCACCCCTGATGCTCGATAGGGGTACTCCATTCCTTTACAACGTAAAATGACTAATTTCATTTGAAGATTGTTGGTGACACTCTACACAAATCGCTCAACCATTGATGTCATTGGAAAGTCCAACTAATTTTCTAGCGACAAAAAAGAGCAGCAATATGCTAAGAAATGGCCGGTTTTGAAGATATAGACGATTTAAAAACCCTCTGCAGTTGAAGGAAAGCAACGTAAAAACGCATCGAGCTTATATTTTTACTATGAATAAATCATTTTTCAGTAAGTTTTTAGATATGGTATCGATTTATTCAACAACTTAATTACAATATTTTTATTACTTGGAACTTTATTTCAAAATAATATTTTCAAAAATGGCAACTGTTGGCGAGTAGCTTGAAAGCGATTGTGGCGCGCCGCGCCATTATTGTCCTGAGGCCCCCATATGATGTCATCAAAAGTGGAGTGACATGGGCCTGTCCAAACCGCTTGACGTATCGACGCCAAACTTTCAGTACCTTCGGCTGCATCAATTTGACACCTTGTGTCAAAATTTTAACTTCTTAGCTACCATAGGTCGGCCGGAAATGACGTCAGAGTGACGTCATGTTCGGCCGATTTCGACGCAAAACATTGAACCACGGCAATCGCTCCCAAGAGCTCAGTTTTTAAGCTAGATCCAATTTCTTTGCATGAGAGGACTCAGAATAGACTGCGCTATCAAACTGCTATCTCGGATTTTCGAAATTTTGAAAATTTCGAAAATTTGATATAATAAAATCCAAAATTTATATTTTTACATTTTTTTCAAAAAGTTTTTGACTTTTCGAAAAAAAACCGGAATATATGTGATAGAACGCATTATTATGACTAACTCTAGCAAGTTTTAGCTAAATATCTTCAAAAATGGCCAAGTTTTACGCATTATTGCAAATAATTCACAATTATTAATTTTTCAAATCAATTTTTCAGCACGTATTTGACATCGTACGCCAATATAAATAGCACCATCGTGTTCCTGAGCTCAAACTGCATCCAATAGACACCTTTTTTGTTGAAAAATTTTAACTTCAAAATTTGACCTTTTTTGACCTGAAAGTGACCTGACCTAAGATAAATTCGACTCAAAATGACCTCGAATGACACAGACGACATCACATTCGAAATTTCTGGCTTAAATGGACCATAAAACATGTGTCACGTGACCGACGCATGATATAATATTTTCGTGACCTGTGATGACCTGACCTTGACCTGAAAATTTTTTTTTTTTTTTTTTTTTTTTTTTTTTTTTTTTTTTTTTTTTTTTTTTTTTTTTTTTTCCATCACTTTTTATTACACATTTTCTTTACAACACATTACCACATTTTCCAACGCACATAGATGATGCTCACTACATTAGCATGTTTGGTTACAGCACAGTACCATATTAATATCTCGTACTCTAATTTCCCTTTCATTCTTGTCATGGTCGTACATAAATTCAGCTTGTGTCAGAATTTTCATTTTTTGTAACAAGTTCACAAACCTTGGCTTTTCTTTTCTAACCTTACAACTATATATGTACCATTTTCCTATCAAAATGAGTCGCTGGATCGCTGTTGCGGTTTCCCTAGGGCATTCGTACAAAGCTGGATCAAATCCCAATATGATTTCCTGAGGGTTCAATTCCAGCGTAATCTTCAATCGGTCACGTATCATATCTTTCACCGATTGCCACATCGCAATCGGTGAAACTTGACCTTGACCTGAAAATCAAAGTACAAGTTTGGTACCCTCGGGGTATCTAGAGCATCTGTTCACGAGTGTGTGATCCAAAAATGAGCCTGATTTGACTTGTAAGACGGCGGCCAGAGCCCAAAACGTGAACAAGCAAAATGCTAATAATTTTTACTTTGACCTGACCTATGACGTCATCGGTGACCTCGAGGTCAATGAAATTAGGTTTCGCTCGACAGTTTTTCCGGGGCTATCAGACGCCGTTTGAATTTTGACGATCGGCCCAGTAGTTTCGGAGTTAGGAGGGGGGGGCTATGAATAGCCCCCCCCCCAGTAGGGCGTGTTATACGCAGACCCCAGTGGGGCGCGGGTTAAATAAGAAGAGCATTCATTGCCTTTAACCCTATTCCTGGCGGGCTCCGCCGGGACAAGAAACTGGCGGGGGGGGGGGGCCGATTCGGCCCCCCCTGAGATCTCGAGAACGAAGCAAGATAGCAACAAGCGGTAAACGGCATCGGATACGTATGGACAAGGTCTACAATTTTTACTAAGGTCATTTTCAGGTCAGGTCAAAGATGACGTCACAGGGGTCGAAAAAGTCAAAATGGCGGCGCTAGATATGGAGAGAGTTTTTCTCGAATAACTTTCGAATTAGTCAAGATAGGAACAAACTAAGGGCATCATCGTGATTCTCTCGTCAATCCGCTTCGAATGATATATATGTTGACCTCGAAAGGTCAAGGTCAAAGGTTGACCTCAGGTCACGTGACCTCGAGGTCATCATGTATATCATTTGATGCGTCTTGACGAGCTGAACACAATGAGACCATCCACGCGTCTGTATCTTGTTCCTGTACGGAGTTATTGGCCAAAAACCTTTGGTGACCTTTGATGACGTCACATGACCTCACAGCTGCCCAACAGCAAAACAGACCTCAAGGTAGTGAAGGTTGATCGTATATGAAGTCATGTATGGTATATGGGGCCATTCCGACCCGTTTTAGTGGTAAAAACAGGGAGTTGATTTTTCCCCCATTGACTTATAATGGGGAGGTCGCGAAACTGACCTGACCTTAGGTCACCGATATCAAAATTCCGAGATATACAAATTGCACATACTGGTACCCTAACTAAAGCCTGAAGAAAAGAAATTGATCGGTCAAAAACTCTAGCTCTGGCGTGATTGCAAACTTTTCTGAGGTAGGGTCACCAAACCGCCTCTGGTGACCTGACCTGAGGTCAGATCAACTCAAAATTTTCAGACATGTTGCGTAGAAGCCTTTTAGGAAAAGTCAGAAAATTTGAGCTTCCTAGCTCAACGCGTTTGGGAGAAATAACCAAAAAACCTCAGGGGGGGGGGCTCCTGAGGCCCCCCCCCCCCGCCAGGAATAGGGTTAAGAGCCCACGCCAATGATGCATGGTTTCGCGTGACTGTTGAAATTCTGGAGCGAATTCAGACCAAAAATAACCACCTGGTGAATTTCTGATGACAAAACTGGCAACTTTCTCACTCTCTCCCTTGACGCCCTGGACACAGGGGCCCGGGAACAATTTTCAAGTTGGGGGGGGGGGGGGGGGGGCGAGCATAAAATACATGACATGATGCATATGAAACAGTGGCGTAGCTAGGGGTCTAAGGGTTGGCTTTGGTGCAAACATGTCAAACAGGGTAACTATAGGGCGGATTGATGTAAGCAAATCAGACGTTCAATTGACAATTTCCGATTCTTATTCGATAATTACGGCCAATTATATTTTATTTCGGGAAGTGTTATTATGACCGGAGCAATAAAATCTCATTTTTCCCCCGTCTCCTTACCTATCTCTCAAACCCCTTGCCCAATTATCTTTCCTCTCTGTAGGTATCAGTCTCCTTCCCGTCCTCCCCGAGTCTCTGACAAGTAATATCCATTCTAAGTCTTTTCCTTCATCTTATCCTCCAATTTCTCTCACCACCCTCTCTCTCTCTCTCTCTCTCTCTCTTTCTCTCTCTCCTCTCTCTCTCTCTCTCTCTCTCTCTCTCTCTCTCTCGCTCTCTCTCTGTATCCGTCCGTCTGTCCATCTCTTTGTCCGTCTCTCCGTCCGTCCGCCCGCCCTTCCGTCTCTCAGTCCGTCCATCCGTCCGTTCGTCTCTCCATCCGTCCGTCCTTCTGTCCGCTCTTCCGTCTCTCAGTCCGTCCATCCGTCCGTCCGTTTCTCCATCCGTCCGTCCATCCGTCACTCTCTCCGTCCGTCCGTCCATCCGTCAGTCTCTTCGTCCGTCCATCCATCTCTCCGTCCGTCCGTTTCTCCATCCGTCCGTTTCTCCATCCGTCCGTCCGTCCGTCTCTCCCGATGTTCGTCCGTCCATCTGTCTTCCCATCCGCCCGGCCACCCGCTCAAGGCCCTAAAGCGAGTCCTCAAATTAATAGGTAGGGGAGAGTGCTCGTATGTGTCGTTGAGCTTTAACCCGCGCCGGGCCGGGGGGGGGGGGGTGTTTGAACACCCCCTGCGGTTTTTCCTCCGCGCCGCCGTTTTTGGCACACCTGTTCGTGCATCTTTTCCGCACATGTTGTGAAAATTTCAGATCCAGGTCGCCTAAGGTCAGGTCGCCAAGTGATCTCACCTCAGAAAAAAAAATAGGAATGCTCGTCATAGCTAGTAGCTACACCGATTGATCGATTGCCTTGAAACTTTCAGCGATTGATAAGAGCAACATTATTTATAAAAAAAATTATCTCGGAATTTTGTTATCGGTGACTTAAGGTCAGGTCAATTTTGCGGCCTCTCCATTACCTATAAGTCAATGGGAGAAAATTGAAAAGCATCTGTTTTGCACGAACGCTATTCTAGACACTCTCAAACATCGAGATGTAGGTACAATTGACACACTGAACCGGAAAATGGCAACTGTGACCCCTTGTTATGTCCCCGGGGTCATCTCAGGTCACGAACAGAATCTATCAGTTTTTCGCAAATAACT